AATTTAAATCTGAGCTTTTCCAAAGGAATTTGAGAAAACTGGTATCCCTCACCAAATCATATCTGTCTGATATAACAATGGGTAAAAGTATGAAAACAGTGGGATGCTTCCTTTACCAGTTATATATGGGTCATAACAGTCGGTATTGCACCCATATAATACGGTACATTCATGAGTTGGCTTTCAAAGCTGTGCAATGGTGGCTAGACTTTTACCTTGTTTCATAGCTTGTCCCAATCATTGACATGCAGCTAATTTTATACAAGAAATAGCTGGGATATTTAGAATGAGTGGCTCACAAAATAGAAAAGGAAACATCATTTACATGTAACATTTATGCATTACTCAAACCTTCACATCTCAGGGTCTTAGAATAACCTATCAAAGGATGAAACTTAGCACACATGGATTGATCAGGAGCTAAGTTGGGATTTTTTATTATTTTTCTCAACTGCTACAAATTGATCCTGTCCATATAAAATTAAAGATTAAGCTAGACCTATCCTTATTTCCCATCTAGGCCTTGTTCTAAAGCAAAATGATGAGGGGCCCTGTACCTCCCACATCCAAACTAATCAGTCAAATATTTGATACCTATGTGAAGTGAATCCTCACGCACATGCCCCAGGGCTCAAACCATGGACAAGATGGCAGTTTTTTAACCACAGGAGAAATACAAGCAATGTGAGAATTTTATTTCAATACAAGTATAAAGGTACACACAAAAATTTATCATAACCCAAATCTCAAGCAGCTGGTTAACCTAAATAATCTGACATGATTGGCAAAATCATTTTGGAAATGCTTCATTTTGACATTGTGGGAGTCTTTCTTTGCATTTATAGAGAGAATAATGTATTCATACCTATGAAACAAAAATCAATTTCAGACATGGCAACTGAATCAAACTAACCATTTAACAGTAAATGATAATTAAACATGACTTTAGCCATACTCACTGTGAATTCTGGAGCCTGACCTATTATATGTATGAGTAAACATGAATGGAAGAGCAGTGGCATAGCTAGAATTTATACTGAAAACTAAAAAAATGAGCTCTGAATGTTTTCAAATGCTAATAACAGGTGAGAGCAAGTTATACACATAGGTATATTTATCTTTAAAACTGTGCCACCAAAAATGCATGTGTATACAAGCACACATGTAAACACAGCATTCAAAAACAGAGATGAAACAAATATCTCAACCATATCAAATTGAAGGCATCGCACACATCACCTGAAGTTGAAAGTAAAGTTTTTGGATGTGACAGGGAAACAACTTATGACCCCACTTACTACTGAACTGACATTCACCTTTGAACATACATCTTACCTCGATGAGATCCGACTGAATGATGCGTTTTATTCCAAACAAAAAAAGAGCTAGGCAACACACACACTTTTCATACCACGGCCCCACATCACCCCTCCCACAACAATGTTGTTTACAACTCTAACCAAACGCCACCAAATCTGCCATTCCGCTCATTGGAACCGGCAACGTAAGCAAGCAGAACTGTTTTTGTAGTTCGTCGCATAATCGTCATATATGTCTTCAATGAATGTTGTGGAATAATTATAGGTTGTTGACCCTAGGTAATCAGTTTTTTACCTTGTTCGATTTTAATAATATTTAATGCTTGAGTTGCATTTTGACCACTCTACAGTTGTTTTCTTTGAATGGCAAAAACATCAGTCTTTTTGCATTATACTGACCTAGGCACGTGATTAAAAAAGCACTTGGCCTTTCCTAAGCAGCTATCGTAGTCATTTCAAGGGTATACTTGTATGTTGTGTACTGTTGTGTGTTGGGCGTGTTTTGGGTTCGCAGGCTTGTTGGATATCTGGTAATTATTATACCAGATATTGGTTAATGTATGTTGCTTGGGGAGAATTTGCGCGCCCGGGACAGGGCTCCAAGAGCTCGGGTTGTAAGAGCGGTGGACTGTCCAGGATTTAACATTGATCCCAGGCGTGAAGTTTCCTTTCATTTTGAGGGGGACTGGAGCCCTCCAGCTCTGAAACTCAGAGGAAAGTGGGCCAAATCCAATGGAAACTCTGTTCGTCGGGGTATCTTATAGCGAGTTGCGATATTTTTCAGTGTTCAGCCCTTCCCCCCCCCCTTCCCACACCCAATCAGTTTACAAGACTACGCCGCGATTGTGCCGTTCAAGCTCGCGCCGGCAAACATGGGTGTGGCTTTGCATGTAAGGGAGTGTTGCGCACAGCTCACTCCCGTCCTAATTTCAGTTCCCCCCCCCCCCCGCTCACATACATGTCAGCCCAAAAGCTAAAAGCAATACGTTGGGGGGGGGGGGGCGCGCTTGGAATGTTTCCTGTCCGCCCCGACCTCCGTTACAAGTATGTCTCCTTCCCCCCCCCTCCATTTCTCTGACTAGGTTCCAGCTGACTATGAGCTTCAATATTCGCAGCTGAGGCGTTACGAATTTCGCCAATGGTTTTCAGCGCCGGACACGAATGTTGATCCGTCCAATCCCTTTCCCTTTCCGGCGTCTCCCGCCACACGTTGGGTCTAGTGTTCACGCCAATCGAAGTAGATAGGACAGCGACGACTTTTTTACGTAGTGCGTCTTTATTCAGGTCATACCTTCGCCATGCCCTGAATACCTTAAAGTAATAGTCTGTAAATATCCTGGAAGAGATTTAATGGTATTTGTGCCATTTGTGCGCAGTGTGTGACTAATCAGCGATGAAGTATGACACTCTGGGACAAAAATTCACTTCAAACGGATTATTTGCACTAGCTCATGACAGGGCTTTATCCAATCCCGCCGTGGTGGGAGCGGAAGGTTGAGCAAAGAGCGGGTGGGTACCAAGCGTACACCATGTGCATGGGGAGTGCAACAGGCGCCTTCTTCTGCAGAGCTGTGGCGACATGGGGAAGAAGAAAAAGAAGCACGCCGCGGAGGCCGCGGAGGGAGCGCCTCCAGCTGCCGCTCGCCCCAGGCCCCGCCACAGGCCCCGCCACAGGGTCCGCCGCAGGGCCCGCCGCAGGGCCCGCCGCAGGGCCCCCGCAGGGGCCTCCACAAGGCCCACCGCAGGGACCACCACGGGGACCACCGCAGGGTCCGCCACGGGGCCCGCCCGGCCGCCGCCAGAAGCTGGTTTCGACGAATCTACCCCTACCGGGTGAGTAGTCGCGACGAGCCATGCTGCTGCGCGTGTGTCGCACTGCTGCAGGCCCTGCTGCTGCGCGTGTGTTGTACTGCTGCAGGCCCTGCTGCTGCGCGTGTGTCGCACTGCTGCAGGCCCTGTTGCTGCGCGTGTGTCGTACTGCGGCGGGGCATGCTGCTGCGCGTGTGTCGTGCTGCTGCAGGCCCTGCTGTTGCGCGTGTGTCGCACTGCTGCAGACCCTGCTGCTGCGCGTGTGTCGTACTGCGGCGGGGCATGCTGCTGCGCGTGTGTCGTACCGCTGCAGACCCTGCTGCTGCGCGTGTGGCGCACTACTGCAGGCCCTGCTGCTGCACGTATGTCGCACTGCGGCGGGGCATGCTCGTTCTCTTCCGTTCGTTGTGCCTCCATGGTGTCACATTGCTTTAGCCCGCCATGCAGCACCCATCGGTCTTTTTACCACCGTCCTTTGCCAGCCCACATCGTCGTCGTGGGATGCCTGTGGATGTGTTTAAATGGCATTTGTCATAAGGGCATGAGTCCGTTAAATTGTCTGACTGGCACACTGTGGTTCAGCAAGACTGGAGCCAGAGAGATTGAGGTGCCCGCTAGTCATCCAGCGCCCAAGTTTGGGCGCAGTCATGCGGTCTGCCAAATGTAGGTGCTTATAGGCTGTTGGGCACGGCACGCGCCTACGTATCTCAATTTTGGAGGCTCGTGCATCCTGCGTGGAGGCTTATGCGCTACATCACTTTTGCTCACGTGGGCCACTTCAGCTTAGGGGTACTCCCTAGATATCGATAGAAGATGTTTCCTACGTTGGCTTCTTTCCCGCTGACGAGCCAGAGATTGTTACTCGGGGCCCACAGGTTCCAAACCTTTCATTGCCAACCATCCAGTTATGTCTTCTCGTGATGAGTTTGATTGCATGGCCTTTTTAATTACTGTTAACGCTGCAAAGCTCAAACGGACAAAAAGTGCCCAAGCCGGTTCAATCCTGCTTATGTAACGCGATGTGGCGAACGCGTTTTATCGTCACCGTGAAACGGTGCGTGATGGGAGCCGGGACGGGAGCGGCCGGTGGCGCTGCCGTCGTGCCGGAGCCGGGACTTGACAGTGCGCATGGGAGCCGGTGCGGGAGCGGCCGGCGATGCCGCCGCCGTGTCGGAGCCGGGACATGACAGTGCGCACGAGAGCCGGGATGGGAGCGGCCGGTGGTGCTGCCGCCGTGTCGGAGCCGGGACCTGACAGTGCGCACGAGATCCGGGACGGGATCTGCCGCTGGTGATGCCGCTGTGCTTGAGCCGAGCCCTGACATTGCGCACGAGAGCCGGGACGGGAGCTGCCGCTGGTGCTGCCGCTGTGTCGGAACCGAGCCCTAACATTGCGTGTGCCCCAGCTCGGTGGACAGTAAGACGGAACTGCAGCCGCGTCTCACCACCTGGGACGATGACGACGCGGCCGACATCCCCATGATCCCGGACCTGGACGAGGTGCAGGAGGAGGACCTGACGCTACAGGTGGCGCCTGCTCCCACGTAAGCGTGCCCCCCCCCCCCCCCCTGCAAACAACTTGGTCAATGAAATGTCAAATGTTTTTGTGCCACACGTGTATTTGCTCCAATCAATTGCGTTGCTTTTCCACACAGATCACGGGAGGCCCCATCCAGATCACAGAAGGTTATCCCGAAACATCCAGATCGTTGCTCCGCAGTTTTTGCCGTTATGTGATGGATGCAGTGGCAGCGGGACTGGAGTTGCGCAGAAGGCCTCATCTGGTTTGCGGGAAACCCCATTGCACCTCTCGAAACACGTGCAGGTGCTGCTGCCAAATTAACACAATGCTACAACGTCGTCATGCGTCTGTCACCTTCAGAGCGCCTGTCAACCGCGTGGCCACGATGCAAGAACTGAACGCGGACCTGGAGAGAAGCCGGCGTTCATGACGCTGGACGAGGTGGACCTTCAGCTGCTGACACGCTGTCTGCAGGAGGCGCGCGACGTGGCCGAGGTCAGCTGCTGTGCAGCAGCTGGCGGCTGCCATAGTTGGCGCTCGGCCGGCGCGACCGCAGCTGTCGTTGGCTGTTCGTGCAGCGTTACCATAGAACAGGCCAGTGTTCCAGTGGGGAGGGGGGGGGAGGCGGGAGCGCTGCAGGGGCGCATCTAGCATGGGGCCTGCACCACAGATAACGTGCTCGCGAAATGTTATTGAAAAGCCTCGCTTCGCAACTGTTGCTAAGGAATCACGTTGTCGGGTATTTCGTCAGGATTTCGTGAAACTTTCTCCAAACAACGTATTCGTAGCTTGTTTTCGATGCTGTTCTGACGCAGCACTATTCCCAATGACCGGCCGCAGGCGCTTAGCTCGGCCATGACCAGGCGCTTAGTCGGCCAGAGGCCCCCTCTGCACCCGTCAGCGGTCTGCGGTGAGCGGGGTCTTCCTGCCCTGTGCCGAGGTGTGCCCCCCGCGTCTGCTGACCGTCTGGTGGCCGGCCTGCTTCTTGGTGTCGGTCCGTGGGAGTATGACGGGCTCCTGGTCCTCTCGTCCGTAGGAGCGTGACGGGCCCCTGGTCCTCTCGTCCGTGGGAGTATGACGCGCCCCTGGTCCTCTCGTCCGTGGAGAGTTGCGCGTCCCTGGTTCTCCTCTTCCGTTGGTGTGATGCGCCCTGGTCCCCGTTCCCTAGGAGCGTGACGGTCCCTGGTCCTCCTCCTCCGAGGTGCGTGACGCGCCCCTGGTCCTCTCGTCCGTGAGGGGTGACGCGTCCCTTGCCTCTCGTCCGTGAGGGTGTGACTCGCCCCTGGTCCTCTCGTCCTGGGGGTGTTATGCGCCCCTGTCCCCCTCGTCCGTAGACGTGACGGGCCCCTGGTCCTCTCGTCCGTAGGTGCGTGACCGCGCCCCTGGTGCCCTCCGTCCGTGAGGGTTGACGCGTCCTCCCTTGTCCTCTCGTCCGTGAGGGTGTGACTCGCCCCTGATCCGCTCGTCCGTGAGGTGTGAACGCGCCCCTGGTCCTCTCGTCCGTGGGAGAGTGACTCGCCCCTGGTCCTCTCGTCCGTAGTGCGTGACGCGCCCCTGGTCCTCTCGTCCGTGAGGGTATAACGCGTCTCCCTGGTCCTCTCGTCCGTGAGGGTGTGACGCGCCCCTGGTCCCTCTCGTCCGTAGGTGCGTGACGTGCTCCTGGTCCTCTCGTCCGTGAGGTGTGCGCGCCCCTGGTCCTTTCTTCCGTTGGGAGTATGACGGGCCCCTGTCCTCTCGTCCGTGAGGGTGTGACGCGCTCCCTGACCTCTCCGCAGCCGGACAGCCCTGGGTGTGGGACGTGCTCTTCACGGAGGATCATGTCGGAGGTGCAGGACGAGATCGCCCTGGACGCCACCAGCGCCGACCCCACGCCCCAGGTCAGACGGCCGCTCGCATTGACCCACTTGGCGCTGCCGACCCTAGCTGCTCAGCATATCCGGCGCGCTTTGTCGCGGCTTCTGCTGCGACCGGACTAAAACAAAATGTTGCTGGTTCGCTGCTGTGACAAAGGCTTGTGTTCACTCGGGCAGGGTTTGCGTAGCAATCTGTGACGGCTGGACTTACTCGATAGACCAGCAGTGTACCGGGTGGGGGGTGGGGGGGTTGGGGGGGGGGGTGTGGGGGGGGGGGGGGGGGGGGGCTGAGTGAGCGCCCGCAGCACCGCAGACTGACTGGTGTCCTGCTCCTGCGGCCCGTTGATTTTGCTGTTGATGTCTTTCCCCTTGTTGTATGTATAGATCGTGAGTATGCATGTACATGTCCAACGTACTTAATACGTGTAGACTGGATCGACACGGTCCCGGCAGATGCCGATAAAATGCGGTTAAGTTGATGGTGTCTGTTACAATATGAACCACAACAATGAGCACCCAGAATCGCCGTTTTTGTATGACTACACCGTGTTCCGTATTCCGTGTTCCAGCCTAGCGCTACTGGCCTGAACAAAAAGTCTTCAACGAGCACCAAGTCCGGCTCACGAACCGAGGTAACGTGCCTTACGCTAGGCAGCCCGGCGGTCGGCCGTCAACCCGCGCCCTCGACCGCCGCTCCGGGACATTGTTGAAGGGCGCATGTAGCTGCTACTCGGCGTTCACCAGCGGGGTCCTGTTTTGTCCGTCAGGTGAACACAGCATGGGTCGACAGTGCCGACTGCCGTGTTGTATCCACGATTGCCATAGCTACGGGCATCGGCTCGGCGGCTTCCTGCCACGCGGAATGATTCACGCCAGATGTTGGAAAGTTGGATCAGATAGCCATCAACAAACAAAACAACAAAACAAAAAACGAGCCCGGCGTTGCGGTCTCCGAGGTTCGCACGGCGTCTGGCCTCCGCCCCCCCCCCCCCCCCCCCCTCGACTAATACTAGGTGGTGGCCAAAGGGCGGACGAAAACGATGACGCATCTGAAAGTAGATTTGAACGCTTTACGACATAAATGCGTTGAGAAGACTGTCTGAGCGAACTTTCCCCTGTACCATATTAAGATGGACAATAAAAACAAGTTGGTATTGACAACACCGCGAAATGGCGCTGGGAAGCTGGTGGTGGGACTGGAAAGTAAAGGTAACATCTCTATTCTCGTGTTGCTGTAACCGTTAGGCTATTCAGAGGCCAGCCTCGAAATTTTGCTGGTGGTATGTACGTCCCAGTCCCATAAAAGAACGATGCGAATCAGCTTCGAAAGATTCGAAAGCATTATTTCACATCGGTTGTACTCGCGCACCTGGCGCCCAACGCCTGGCGTTATCTGCAGCGGCCAGCGCCTTTGGCTTTGGTGGAAACCGCAACCGCAGCCCATCATTATTCTTGCTCCTAGGATAGTGAGCGCGGGCCCAAAGCTTATTGTGTAATTTGCTTCACCAGTTGATTCTGCAAGAGGATTGACGTCCTTGGTCAAACATGTGGGTTGGCCATTTTTCGGTGGACTGCGTCTCGATTCATCAGATTGAACGCTTATTAAATCCGTCTCTGTTTCCGGGCCAGAGACGAACTTGTTTTTAGGTTGCCCGATTCTATTGTCGCTATTATTTTGGTGATATGCGTCCTGGTTCTTTGACGTTTTGAACAATATATGCATATTTATGGGTTTATTTTTTCAAGAACAATGTTTCCAGATTGATGTGCTAGAATCGAAGTAGCTCTTAAAACCCAAATTAAAGCTCTGAAAATATAAATTGCCTTCAACATGCAGTGCGAAAATCCGACCAAGTTTCCAATTTGTCTTCAATACTGTCGGAATCCTTGAATACTGCGGTGCCGCTGCGTGGTTGATGTAAGCTACCGATCACTTACAGCGATTGTGATTCATCTGCCTCTTGACTTAGGTGCTTTCCTCTTGGGAGCGGTGCTGTGGGCTGGGGTCAAGTACTGTGATGGCGGATCCGTGGCGTGTGACGGTCATTAAACTTCGGCCACACGGGTATAGTTTCGCAAAACAAATTTGGGGCGCCGAGCAGGAAAATGGAAACTGAAAACCTGCTTCAAAAATACGCTAAAAAGGCTTCCCTGGATTGGACCTATTTTCTTCTCAAAGTTAGAAAGATAGAGTATCCCCAGCTGAATAGGAAACAACATTCGTGCTCCAATGCGCTTCCTCGCCCTATCTCGGCGGGAAATGCTGTCGACATCATTGCCATTTTGTTGGGCCCGGATGGTCGAGCCGGGTGTCGGCAATTGACGTAGGTTGGATGTGACGTGACTTTAGACGCTGTTGGACGTCCATGTTTTCGGAAACATGGAGAGTAAGTTGGTGTGCGTAACTATGAAGGACTGCCAGGGAAACCTTCGGCAGGTAGACGCAAGACGTGCTTCAGCCTGCAACGCACTCTGCGATAGATATATTCGAAATGTCTAGTGTTGTTTTGCTCATCATTGTCAGACGGTTACCACAAGCGGCTTAGTTGCGGGCGTCGATTGTCGGGTTTCCGTAGCCATTTCATTGAATATTCACGTCCAAATGGAGGTCAGCACATTTCAAGCCTTCTTCCGAGCATAGCGGCTAGTAAATTCGTCACATTTTTGCGTGCTTATATTCTACCGGTTTATTTTAACTCCCAGCTAATACATCGGAACAGAATAACACAACGAAAGCAGCTTGTTGCAGTCCATAAAACTTGAAAAGGCGCTAAATGATGTCAAAGCACCCAGGCAGTGATACAAAACTTTACCAGAAATAACGATACATATTAATTGTACAATTAAAACATGCGGATTGCAGCAAAATCGAATGCGTCAGTAGATATGTTATGAATGTGAAGTTCTAGTTTGACCTGCCCTGCTTTTCTTGTTCCTTCTTACCGGTGGAAGTAATATTAAGGAACCCTTTAGAATTTATGTAGTTTTAGGCCTTCACTTTAGTGTTCTGCATGCGCATCGGACGCTTTAGAAGGTCTGGGGGGGGGGGGGGCATATTCACCATTGGGGGCCAAATTGGACGGGGGTGAATTGTGTGTTCCACCCGAAGGAATGCAGATCAGTACTCGTGCGCCCCCCCCCCCCTCCACCTCCCCAATTGATTAATGGGTCTCCTTTGATGGGTGCACCTGTTCGGAAACCGCGCATGGGTCAGCGTACTCGCGTTTGGCTCGTAGGTCCATACGGCACACCGGCCAGCGTGACCCCTGCGCGAGCGCGCGTCTCAAGAGCCCGTCTGTGGCTTGTTGCAGCAGCAGCAGCAGCAGCAGCAGCAGCAGCAGCAGCAGCAGCAGCAGCAACCGCCGCCGCCGGCCGCTGAGCTGAGGAAGAGGTCGTCGACGGGTGCCGGGTCGGCCTCAAAGACACAGGTGCGGGGTGGCCAGCAGCCGTCCTTTACAGCGTGACGACGCGGCGCTGGCTTTCTCCTTGGCGTCAGGACGCCGCGCTGTGACGGCCTTGCATCTGACCGCTTCCAGGGTGGTGCCCAGCGCTCAGGGGAGGAAAGCCCGTCCCGCTTATCTGGCAGTGCCATGCTGGATATACCGTGTATTATAAAGTCTTGCTATTTTATAATGAGATATGTATTCGCCCCTTGCGCTAGCTCGTCTTGTTTCTGCTCAGTTTCCTGACTTGACAAGGTGCATTGGTGCAGGTGCGCCGTCGTCTGATTTTTCTGTCTCGAATTCAGCTGCGTTCAGGCCGTGGATGACACGACGTGTGAGTTAACACCCGGCTGTGTTGGGTGCGATCCAGGCTGCTGCTCCTGCTGAGCCGGCTTACACCCACGGATCGCCACACTGCGCTGGGGCGCCAGGCCAGCATCGTCTGCGGGAGGACCGTACCTGTCTCTCTGAGACGCGCGTCCAGGGTGCTTCCGGCTGTGACCACCGCCGGCCTCGTCTTGCGCTCCCCCCCCCCCCCCCCCCCCCACACACACACACACACTCAGTGCGTGTCCGGACCCTTCGCGGGTGTGACGCTCCATAGGCCGCCTTTCCCTGAACCGGTGGAAGACACTGCTCCCCATGCGGTTCAGCCCTGGTTACTGTCTGGCGATTGCCGAAAACGGGTACGACTCATCGAAGGAGTGACAGGGTGGTGGGAAGTGTCGACCTGGGACGGTTCTGGTCGTAGCAGTGGTACATCAGTACGAGCAAATGGCATTGTTCGCCTTTGCTAAGTGCACAGATGTGACCGCCGCAGCGTTTTTGTTTTCGTTATCCCACGTTGGAACTCAACTCGTTTGGGTGAATGGGATGCAGTGTGATTGGTAGCATCTGCGTGGAATCCTGCTAGCCTGAGGTAATTGAGGACCCGCCTTGCTCACAAATCAATTGGAATATATTTTTTTACAAACGAGGTGCGATTGTGAGGTTCTGTGAAAGCAGTAGCGGTGTTACAGTCTGCCCCCATGATTCCAGCACTGGAGCTGGACGTTCCCGTAGTAGAAACACAGACAGGCTGCAGTTCTACCCAAAGGTCTTTACCATAAATGCTCGTTGATAAACCCCACAACGGCCGCCGCCTAAATATACAAAAGTGCGTCACGTGCGTGCGCGCATGAACGTGGCCATCTGCCTTGTCCCCCATTCTTCACTGCGTGCTGTTGCGGAAAGGACTGAGCATAATATCTTCGATCTGAAACAAAAATCATGTTTATCACTTCTCAAAAGTCCATGCAAAATTTCAGTTGTCGAATGGTAAAGTTCTTTTTGTATGTGACCCCACCAGAGCTATGCTGTAGAAATGCATGCCTGCTGCTGCTCATTTCGGTTCCCTATCGATATCCGATATTCAACTGCGTCACACGCTTAGGCGAGTGTTGTATCATATAGCCTGGAAAAGTTATGTACGGTTGTTCTCGGGAGATGAGGCAAATTGTGTGTGCATTACACGATTACCCGAACTTCCACATAATGTATGCCGCTCGAATTCGCTCAAACGCCATGCACTCGTAGCTGTCGAATCATGAACGAAGGCGCCGGCCGTCCTCGGTCCCTGGCTTTCGACGCTTCGTACGAGGCCGGTCGATGACGTACCCTGGACAGACTTAGGAGCGGACATGATACAGACGACAGCGTCGGCGACAACGCTCGGGTCCATTCCCACTTCCATCAACTTTCAGGCCTCTTGCTTGTCGGCTAACATGCGGTTGGCAATGTCCGTGTTCACAAGGCCGGGCGAGATTTGCTGAAAATGCATGATACCAATCATAACCTCATTTCTGCGCGGATGTAGGGGAATGTAATAGTCCCTAAACCGTGAGATTTCCGTCTGTAGCTTTTTAGGCATTTGAATAAGGGTTTCCAGTGACTTCTAGCCATTCTTTCAACGTACGCAAAATGGCATGGCCCTGGAGTGGTCACTAGCAGCGCTTGACCATCTTTCATTTAGGCTCTTCAACAAATTGTAAATCAGCCGTCGATGTAGAATGGATCCACTTTCTTTCAAGCAAGTTAACGTGGCTTATGTGTGTTAGAGTGATGTTCTATAACGCGTGTGAATGGTGCGAAGACGTCAGGTGGTAAGTTTGCCTCGCGTTAGCTAAACTTTCAATATACTGGGGACAGGATTTTGGTCTTGTAATTTTCTCAAGTCTTGACTCAGACTTCCAGAAGGCCCTGTGTCGATTCCTTGTAATGCGTAGGAGGTTTGCCTATTATGATACTTTAAAATCACGCTGCGATGCGTATTCGATGTTTTTGAGGCCAGTGCCTCGTCATGTGGCAGTCACACGATTTTGATTTAATGTACTTGAAGGTTATAATTGGCCAAAGATTTGGTAGCTTCCAAGTATTTTACAACCGTTCGCGCCCTAGTTCTTATTGAGGGTGAGAGCTTTAACACGTGCTCGGGGGGGTCAAATTGCCCCCCGAAGGTTTTCCGGAATGGTTTCCAAACGGCGCGGCGTAGCCGTGCCAAATTTTGGCGTAGCTCTAGACAATTGAATAGCAGATCGTTTGGCATAACAAATTTAGATGTAGCTTGCAAGTCGCTGACCTGTGGCAGGTCAAGTCAGGCCATGGTTTCAGCGAAGGTATTTTCTAGGGAATCCTTCAATCTGATCCAACAACGGAGTGTTAGACGAAGTCATACATCTCTGGGACGCTTTTCTTAGGGCAACACAACAGTTGAATGAGCAAATTACATTGACCTAAGGTCAGGTATGAAGGTCACACCCAGGTCAAAACCAACCTGTTTTGTTACTCTAGGGCTTGCTGTATGGGATAGTTTCCTGGTGCTCATTTCGAGTTTATTGATAGCAGAAACCGCATTATACATCTTCCACGGACCTTCTTAGAGGTCATAATAGATCATTGACCTAAAATGACCCTGGTCAACATTTTGTTTTAGGAACATACTGCCTAGCGTAATCTTTGTCGCTTAGTCAAATGCAAAAACTCAAAGCAATCTTGTATGATTTTGGTCAGCTTGGCCTCAAAAAGGTCGAACAAGGTCACTGACCTTGAATGAGAATGTGACCTTTTGCTTAGCAACGACTATCTATGTTCTGGGGCGCTTTGGAGACCAACCTGGAACTTGACCTTGGTTGACCCTGCTTTGACCGGGAGGGTCATGACCTAGGAACCTGAACTTTGGCCCTCAGTGAGTTCGCGTGCAGATTAAGACATTCTGTAAACTTGATGTCTCTAGCTTTCTAAGTTCCTGAGACTTCAGAGGGGCAAATTGACCCCCACCCGCACCCGAGCGAAGGGTTGTCTAGCCGGCCACCTGGGCGCGCGTGTTAAGTACTAACTGAGACATGGCATTTGCGTGAACATTACCTTCCCAATTGTACTCACAGACGTCACCCTTGCAATGCCGTCTCGTTTGCTCTAAAGGGCAAACGCGTTACCTCAGAGAGGAGCGCTCGTTGGAGATAGCTGGTGGGCCGACCCACTCATAAGATACGATTATTACGGGGTTGACTGATCCGGGTGTCATCCCCAGCCCAGCCGTCGCATCCGCATAGGAATGGCGTCAGTCACGAACGGACCTATGCGGTGTCTTGCAAGGCGTAAGAGTGATTACAGGTTCTGATGCGTCATACAGGCTTACCCAGAGGGATTCGATAATAACCGCGTCTCCTTGGCATCAACCAGCGAGTAAAGCTGGACGAAACTTCGTAGTCGAAGTTTCCTTTTACAGGTTAATCTGCCAATCCAACCACCTACCATCCCGTAATCCCCCGTGCTTGTGTTGTGTTTTGTCAGATATAATGTATCACACGTCATCTTGACACATGCAACGGCAGCGTACTAGGGTCAGAGTGCGAATATGAAAACCGCAGCGACAGATGCATCATGGTGGCCCGGGTACGTACCGCGACCCTGATCCGCATCTTCTTAGCAGCCACCTCCTGGCGCAGGCTCTCCGTCAGCGCAGTCACGGCGTACTTGGTCGCCGTGCAGAAGTGGAGATCGGGCCAGTCGTCCACGCAGTGTCCGGCGCGGCTGCAGATGTTGATCACCTGGGCCTCGCTAACTTCGCAGGCGGCCATGTTGTTGACGGCCAGCTGAGCGCAGTGCGCGAGCGCCAGCACGTTGACGTCCAGCATGGCGCGCCATTTCTCTGCCGAACCATCCAGCAGCCAGCGGCCGAAGTTGAGGTCGGCATTGTTGATCAAGACATCCTCGCCGCCGAACTGTTGCTCGATGGTGCGGAACATAGCGTCGACCTGGTCCAGCTGGCTGAGATCGCAGCGCATGGCCGTCAAGGAGCCGGCGCAGCCCTGCAGCTCGGCGGCCATCTCCTGCAACGGTCAGACCGGAGCACACCCCGTCATCGGAACCTGCCCGTCACATGGCCCGAGTGAAGACCACCTCGCTCGCTGGTGCAGACAGCGCCGGCGCCTTCACACACCTCTGAACGGCACATGACCGACTCCTAAATTAGATTGTAAAGGAATTCGAAGCCACTGGAAAAGTCTTACCCTTAATAATTTCTCGAACAACTGTGTACCAGTTGCAAAAAGATAACTTATCAACCCCACCAACTGCAGAAAGGCATATGATCACAGTTTTGTCATATCATGTTGACATACTGTGCAAATGTATGTCAGAAATATTGTGTTGCAATGTGGAGATGCGATAGCTTGCAAGTTCCAGGCATTTCATGTGAGCCATGGCGAGGGCGACAATGTCTTGCAGATTGAAGAGCGGATGGCTGCCAGAACATTTAATCATTCTTCGGTATTTTTACGGGAATAACACCATTACCGGGTACATCATATTACACGTATTATCTACGGCACCTTCGCATTTCCCTGCATCTGCACGTCACCAAAGCAAGTTCATGAAACACCCACAGTGTGCACGCAACGGCTAGCCAATCAAGTGCGATGCAAGAGATGCATGGATTGGGAGGACATTGAGAGCCTTGATTCGCTTGTGCCAACCTTGAGCATAAATTATGTCTAGTCTTGAATCTCCGTGGAACTCATCGAACGACAAACTTGTGATTTCAGTAAACTGCATAACAACCTAAACAAATACAGCAGACGAAAATATTGCTCTGGGTAGTAGTGACTTTGATTGTGCTACAACGACATTATGCAGAAATGGCAGTGCTGCTATCACGTCAGATGTGGCAAGCAGATCAACATCTGACAAAGGGAGAGTATCCATTAAGAAAAGACACATACTACTGGCTTTGCACATTGTGAGTTTTTCGGATATCTAGTAATATACCAGGAGCTGGTCAAAAGGAAAATAGCAGGCGGTCATTGAATGTTATTGGAAATATTCCAGCTTATATAGCTCACAAATGTATTTCAGTGATTTTCAGACATCTCCTTTTCACCCGTCCCTCCTGGTACACATGTCGAATGTTTGTTATTGGGCGTGAGAATCCAGAATTTGAAAAGGAGGCGTCATACTGTGAGCATTAGATGACGATATCCGAACTTTCCATGCAGCGGCGCAACCAGAATTGCGACGAGGGTTACCATGATTTGCAGCGTGGCGATTTTTTACGAGCTAGTCTCAGCCTCATTGACAGTCTCTACGCACTGCGAACGAACTTACAGACCACCACAAACGATGAAATGGACAAACGCCTGGCGCCTCAATGAGCTATCCCTTTTAGTTTACCCTGGTGTTTGCCTGCGAGCTATCGCTCTTTTTTGCCCTGGTGTTTGCCCTGGTATTTGCCTGTGAGCTATCGCTCTTAGTTTGCCCTGGTGTTTACCTGTGAGCTACCGCTCTTAGTTTGCCCTGGTG